GCTGAAATTAATAATATACTTTTGGGTAGGGTGCCACCCCCTACATTGCATAACTTGGTTGTTGAGGATAATTTTGATACCCCCTATGATCGTGGCTAAGGGCTCGGTGAGGTTCATGTTATGGATTACTTCTAATACTATCATACTATTCTAGTCCCCGATTTGTTACTATATTTACAATATTGGTGGCTTGTGATACACAAAAAATATATGCATTTTTAGACCCATATTTTTTACTCATTTTTGGTGATATTGCACTTTAATGGAAGATATTTTAATGTTTTCTTGCAGAATGTTGATTTTTAGTGCTTAAAGGAAAAAGAAAGCAAAAAGAATGAAATTTAGAGTCAAAATTAAGTTTTTGAAGAACAGCTCAGCGTCGGCATCGTCGATGACGTAGAACAATTTAACGCTGGAGAATTTTACTCAGCGCCAACGGTGCCAGACCAACGTCGACGGCGCCAAAGGCGGTGCAAACCCCATTTCTAGAAGGTTGGATGCATTTGGATGACTTTTTATAGATTTTTTGGAGGCACCTCTTGGAGAACCGACCTTGGGCTCTATTTGGGGCCAAATTTCATCAAAAAAATTTGTTCCTCTACGTTTTTCACTCCTCTAAGTTCATTTTTTGCTTTACATCATTCCATTTCACTATCTTATTGGAGTCAATTAGTGATTTTGCTTTCATAGTTTAGAGTTTTTGTGGTGAGATTTAGTGTGAAACTTTCCGTAAAAGTGTTGGAGAAGGAGAAAAGTGAGAGAATTCTTCTTCCCGCGTTTCTATGGAAAGGCTGCAAAGGATTTTCTTTGAGAAAGAGTTCCAGATAAGTTTGCTTGTTTATTTAGTGTTGTATGAACTTTATTTTATATATGAAATTTGTGTTTTACAGTTATTTTTCTAATGAAGTCTGAGTAGTTCTCTCTATCTTTCCCCCTACACTGAGATATAGTGAAATGAAGAGATAATATGATTTGCCAATACTAAAATATAAAAGAAATTGTGATGAATTTTCAACTTCGAACTTAATTTACATTTTGATCTGACCAATTGAATTGTTAAAATATGCTGTGAAAGTAGGATCCAGGAAATGGAGTATGCGTTCTCTCTACAACAGAGTGAAGATCATATTTGATTTCATGAAGAAGAAATTTGTTCATGAAATTAAGTGCAAATAAATAGGAAAATATTCTTTATTGGGTGTAAAATTCGAGAATTTTTAGGGTAACAGACTAAAATCGTCAATTTGGTCTTAGTTTTTAAAAACTAAAGCGGAAGTTAGCCTTCAGGTGAAGGGAAGTGGGAGCTCTGGAGTGGGAGTCAGTATCCTCTTAGCCTAGCCACGAATTTAGGGACTAAACCTAAGATTAGCCAATGATTTTCTATGTGTTGTATCAGGGTAGAGAATTAAAATTGTTCATATTTTGCACAATACATATTAAAAACATTTATCTCATCTCATTTCACTAGAATTTCATTGTAGTGGGAATGATGCTTTTTCACATAAGAAATCTTCATTTCCTAAACATAGTTCTTATATTAGTATTTAATATTTAAAAGTTGCATTTCCGTTTTTGCTAATAGTTAAGTAATTTAGTTTGGTTAAAATCTCAACATTCGAAATTAGTTAAAGTGATTTTGTATGATTTTCTATAGATTTTCTATTAAAATTTATCATTGCTAACTTACAGCTTCCACGTGGGATCGATATTTAGGGCTTAAATTAGAAGTCCATTATTACTTGATAATGATACGTATACTTGCGTAGAATCTCATTATTCATTGCTAATAATTTATATATATTTTTTACACAACTTACTTTTCATATAACGATCAAGTTGTTGGTGTTGTGGCGATGTCAACTTCATAAATCCTTACATACAAAAAATTTGGGATCAGCTTATTATTTCCCCTTTACTTTAAAATTTATTTACTTAACTGAGAATGTATTACTCAAAGATTTATGGCGCTAGTGGTACAATTTGTGATGGATGGCATGCTTATTTTGAGCAGCTCCCCTATTTTATTTTGGGGCTTTCCCATGATTTGTCGTGCACACTTGCTGCTCTGCTTTGTTTCCTCGGTAATTGTTGTTATGCTAGCACCTTCTTCGATGGGAATTTTTTTTGTTTCACGGTATTGGATGGCTTGAGGAGCTCTTTATAAATCACTTATTAGCTTTCGATATCTGCTGGAATGTTGCCTTCTCATATACTGCACTACTTTCTGATGGGATACAACTATATTTTTATTTACAAATCTCCTATTATGCATTTCATTATGGCTTCTTAGCATTGGCTGCAAGCTTCTAATGCATAATTTTCATCCTATTTTGGCCAAATGTTGCTGGAGCTCCCTGAATCCATTTTATGATATTTTTGTGGATTGAAGTTTGATGAAGTTGATTTGGAAGCCGCATGGTTATAGCTGAGCTTTCATTGGAGATTTCTTGTACAACATCCTGGTGGCTGCATACTTTGTCTTCTTTTGCTCCTTTTTCTTCAACAGTTAATGTTTCCTCTACAGTTATAGATACTCGGTATACTTTTTGGTGTCCTCCTTTTTGTCTTTTGGGTATACTTGTATGCTTTTGGAGATCATTTTTTTGGTGTACAGTTGTACTGTTGGAGGTGGAACCCCCTTTGTATAAGTATTGTAACTTTTTATTTTTTTGGTGTGGGGATCCACCTCCACACCGCCTTTGTAACTCGTTTTTAAGATTAATATATGTGGAGCTGCATAATGCTCCTTCCCCAATATATATATATATGTGTGTGTGTACACTTGCTACAGTTGTATATTATCAAATGGTGTAAAAAAATTGTTAAACCCTATTTGTATAAACAAATGAGGTGGTAACTTATAAATATCTACATAAAAATACATGTGTTCAAGTCACTTCTTTTCATGATCATAAGCATTAGATACTCGCTGAAACCGTCATACATAAAGTAAATTGTCCCTTTGTATAGTTCATATTGCATGCCCCAGTTCATTGTCATTTTAATTTTAATAAATAGTTGTTATTTACTAAATTTAATTGATCAAACTCACTCATCGACATATTTATATAATAAGTTATATTCAAACATTTGCAGGACCATCTCTATCGAGCACATTTTCTATCTTTTCATTTTTTTAGTAGTTGATGTTTATGACAACTCTAATTTTAAAAATTTGTAGTTGATGTCTATGACAGTCGTAGTAGACCTACCAAAGTTATAGTTGGAGGCTATGAAAGTTGTAGATTGCTACATAATTTAGAGTGTAGGAGTCTATAATAGGCATAGTAGGGTGATTAAAGCCATAATTGGTGGTGGTCGACGATGGCTTGTGATCGAAGATGACCTCTGGTGGTTAGTGATAAACTATGGTAGCTTGCTCTGATCTCGGGAGACCAGCAACAACAATTAAGATTTTAAGAGTTAAGCTTTAATATTTAGCTCACTATTTTCTTCTCCTCCCATTTCAAGAGAAAAATAAGGGCTAACTTACCATTTTTTGAGATTGGCATTTAGATGAATTTGGTAAATTTTACAAAAAAAAAAAAAAAATTTCCACCGAAAGATTGACATTGAATTCTTTGATCAAATGTATTTTTTTAATATGTAAATACCTTAATGACATCATAATTGAATAATTTTTGGCTTGTTGGATTCCTATCAGCAAGACACACAATTTGAAAATAAGCGTATCAAATTTTGAGATCGTTTGACCTTCCAATTGATGCATTAAAGCGTTCGACAACACTTCAATTGTTCGATTTGGGTCTATCTAATTCAAAATGTATCACACTCATGACATTAGGTTCGTTTTGTCAAGATGCTCTGTTTGTCATGATTAAAATCTATAGATGACAGTTGAACATTTGGACACGTAATGTTTGAAATATATCAAAACTAAAATTTTATTATAAATTATTATTACTTTGCTTTACTGATGTTGTCTCACAAGTTCATGTATGTGCTAACCAATTTGGCTGGCAAGAAACCTTAAAATTGTCATTGGTAACTTGAGTTCAACCGTTTCCAATATGAAATTTCAACTGTTGCCAATTTTATTGCAGTGTTGTAGATTATAAATAGTAGATCTATGAACTACCAAGAAAAGAAAAAAATAGAATAATCTAAAACTATGCTTTAGTCTGGTTTCAGAACTTTGTAAGCCAAAATACATTTTTTATAAGTTAAGGACGTTAGGTGGAGCTAACAATTCAGCAGCTATCTTGCTTTGCTTAATCCCTACAATGTAGTGGACCTGGCCAGTTCACAAAATCACGTGGTAGAGACAAAACCTAAGTGGTAGGCCAAACAAAACTCATTATATTTTCTGGTACTTTTCTTATTTATATTTATTTTATGAAGAGTATTATTTCACTCATCTCAAATTTCAAAAAAAATGGGGCAGTTATAAATAGACCACACAGAACTTGTTATTTACAAATCAACCACCCTCTTTCTCCATTTTTCAAATTCTCGCGCTAACATCAAAACTCATGGCAATACCCCAACCTATATTTTTCATTTTTTATCAAATTCTCAATAGTTTGTTTGATCGTGGCATGCATGAATATATAGCTTCGGTATTTAAAAAGAATCTGCTGAGTGATTAATTTGTAAATATCTGTATGTAATTATTCCCAAAAAAATGTCTTAATGTAGCCCAAAACTTTTCATACTTCTCAATAATACAAAAGTAAGGCCTTCATTTGAGAATCCGGTGGACTTTCATAACGCCGCCGCCGCTGAAAAGTTTACGTTTGGCGACGGACCAGTTGTATCACAAGAACCATGAACTTTTGTCGTTTCAGACTAGAGACGACGAGGCTTGTTCCACCACGTAACTTTTAAAAGAGCTTCGTCGAACGGCAAAACTCCTTTAAACCAATTCTAATTTTGATTGCACACATGACATATTCTTTCTCACAAACAATCTTTCCATCTCTTTTTTATCCTTGAAATGTTGAACGTCAAAGCATAAATTCAATGTAGCTGAAGTTCAAACAAATTAACTATAGTCCAAAAATTCCTTTATATTGGATACATCCTTTTTCAAGCTCTAACCAATGCATTGGAAACTGAAATAAATATACATCCATTGTAATATCCCCATAGAAAACAAAAGGGGAAAGAAGATTGAAGAAGAAAATATATGCAGTAATTAAGGCTCCACCCAAAGCTCAGCAAACTTAACCTTGGAGACACTCTCCAGAAGCTGAAATGGAGTAATGTCCCCAGTCACCACTACCTTCTTGCTCTCCAAGTTCATCACTATAGAGTACACGCCTAAGGATGCAGAATAATGAATTTGATATACTTTGTGTTAAATAAGTGGTCACATTTCTATAAATGAATGCAGATTATACAAATTTCTTTCACTTCCTATGATTGCATTACTCATGAAATGATCTGATGTGCTCATTAAATCACAATATTAATACATCTACTTCAGAAATCAAAGGGGAAAATATTTAGCGCAGTTAAAAGAGTAGTTTGAATCACATACCTTCAATCTTTTTTATATGCTTCTCAACTTTCCTTGCACAGCCATTACAGTGCATGGAAACTCTTAAGGCTACAGTCTGAAAACCAAGATGAGCAAGAAGAGTTCAGTGTTGTTAAAAAAGTTAATGACACAAATCTTTTACAACTATAATTATTGTTCAAATTATAATGAATTGCAGAAGTATTATTGAATTAAACCATGAAAAGAAGAATCAAATATAAGGAAAAAAAAAGGAAAAACAATGAAGAAAAGAGGATCACCTTGGGCTCAAGATGAAAAGCCAAAGTTTTGTTCTTCTGAACATGATTTTCCAGCTTCAACAAACCATCCACTCTTTTCTGAATCAAAGTTGCTCTCTCATGTTCATCCTCTGGTTCAACAGAGCTCACACAGAGGCAAGAATTGGAAGGGAATGAGAGAGAGAAACAATCAAAGGCTTTGACAAGTCGCAGCCATCCCATATTTCCTCGCACCTCTTTCACCTTAATTAGTTCTCCCTCAAACTAAAACAAAGTTATTGTAATTTGTTCTTTGTTGCATTAAATAATTAAAGATAAGTTTTAGCATGTATTGATATTATTATTGGATATAATTTTTGTTATTATATTTATTCTATTATTATTTTTTTAACCACAATATATAAGATAATTAGCTATGGATAATAATCTAAAATAGTCCATAATAATTACTTATAGTTGAAATCTATAAAATAATATAATAGATGTCATCCATTAACATTAGGAATGGAGATGTCTAATATGGATTATTCAATATTGAAATATCATGGATGGAGTTCTTTACATAATAAGATTATTATTGTATCCTAAATTGTCATTGGACACACACCACTTAAACAAAAGGTAAAAAGAAAAAATGAGCACAAGATCAAAGAGAATTTGAAAAGAGAGTAATAAGGTGACGATATTTCTATTAGGAATGAAGTGGTTATATGTTGATTAGAAAATGATCCATTGAGAAGGTCTGTATTTATTTACCCTAATTGCATTGACAAGGTCAAATAAATGTTAATCTATGTTTTACACAATAAAGATACGTAAACATCTCTAAGCTGATAGAAAAACCGAATCAATTTTTCTACCATACTATCGACAAAATATACAACTCAATTTTCTACATTTGTTTTTCACCTGAAAAATTGATGAAAAAATGTTGGTTTATACGTTGTTTGTTTCCTTGTGAGATTTTTTTGTGTTGGGTATCCACCATAGATCTTGGAAGAGTTCTATATAAATGATCGGTTGCGTCATTTTAAGAACAATATACTATACCGAGAGAAAAAAGATTACATTAAATGAATCTGATAATTAGGATGAGAAAAATCTTTCAGATTTATGGGTCTGCGTTAACCAGAGGCTTTTTATCTACCTTACGAGTATAACCCGAGAGAAAAAATATTACAATAAATGAATCTGACAATTAGGATGAGAAAAATCTTTCAGATTGATGGGTCTGCATTAACCAGAGGCTTTTTATCTACCTTACGAGTATAAGATAGAGTTTTTTTTTTCTTTAATTCTAGGATCTCATATCCCTACGAGGGTCAATCCTTGTAGTTAATTACATTACGAGAGTTGTAGCTCCCAAGAATACTCCAGATTAAACTATTGGATTATATCATACATGAATATACGATAGTATCTTGAAGATTGATATTTTAGGATCTCAGATTGATGTATGTTTTTAAAAGGATTTGAGTCAAATTGAAAGGTTAGAACTTACAATTTAATGTTGATTTGCCACGGAAAGGCCCGGGAAAAGGTGTAGCCAATCATGGGAGGAAGGCATGCCATGAAGATTGAAATTACAAATTTATTTGAAAAGAGTTTGATTTCTTTGGGTTTAAGAAATTAGATTTGGTTTGGAAAATTTTGATTTGGATAAATTTGGTTTGAAAAGTTTGACTTAGGTTGATTTGATTTAAACAAAAAGTTTGATTTGGATTAATTTACATGACAATTCAACTTGAGTCAGATGGATTCGATTTTATTGAAAGATTGATTTAGAGTTAAATTGGTCTAATTGTTTAAGGTTTGGTTGATTAGAGTTTATTTTTAGTTATGAAGATTGATTACCTACTTGAAGTGTATTTGAAGCATTTTAAAGTTTGTTTGAATTTAAAGTTTATTTGAATATTTAATTAAAGTTTTTTTTAGTTTAAAGTTATTTAAGAATACATGAGGATTATTTAAAATTTAAAGTTACATTGAAAATATTTGAAGATTATTTGAAATTATTTAGAGGCTCTTAAGGGTATTTGAGTGGTTTTAAAGTTATTTAAAGTTAGCTTTAAAAATTTTTAATTTGTTTTAAAGTTGTTAAAAGTTTGTTTTGAGATTATTAAAGTTTCAAGGTTGCTAAAATTTTGTTTGAAGTTTTGTGGAAGGTCTGCTAAATTTTTGTTAAAGTTCATCAAAGTTTTGTTAAACGTTGTTAGTGTTTGTTAAAGTTTAGTTACATCTTGTTAAGATTTGTTAAAGTTTAATTAACGTTTATTAAGCCTTGTTAAAGTTTGAGGTTTATAAGAGCTTGTTTAATTTTTAAAGATTATTAAGGTCTATTTAGAATGGTTTGAGGTTTTTTGAGAAAGGGGAAGTTAGACATTTTTTAAGTTTAAAGGTTAGCTTTTTAAAGTTTGAAATAGTTAAGAACTTTGAAAAGGTTGTCTTTGAGTTAAAAAGGGGTTCAGTTTGTGTCGGGGAGAGTTTTTTTTCAGGTAATTGAAATGGCCTTGGTTTTGGATTAAGAGAATGTTGGGAAAATATTTTGGTTTGGTTGGCTTTGAAGTTTTGAAAAGATTTTTGGTTTTTTAAGGGCTTTAAAGTTTTAGATTAAAAGAGTTTTGTTCAGATAGGAAAATTTTGATTTTAGTTGAAGGTTTGATTGGATTTTTAAGGTGTGATTCACAATGAAGATCAATTGGAATTTGACCCTAGACTAAGGGATAAAATAAGCTAGAAGGATCTCTAGATGTAAGTAAAACCCTAACCTTAAAAAAAATCTAGACTCTACAATGAGTCTGAATGGGTAGACTAACATAATTTCTTGGTATAACACCCTCGATTAATATGCTCATAACCTTCCTTGATCCTAGTACATTTGTATCCTTAAACTATTAACCAATAAAAAATAAGAGGTCTTCACTACTACCATAGTGATGACAAATTTATACCTTTAAACTATTAGGTGGTTCAAAGTGCTTTTATCAGTAATCATGAGTTACTACATCCTAGGACACCGATATACTCTATGGGGATAAGGTTGTTTGTTTTATATATCCTAGTCCTTAGCACTAACTACGAGTACATATTAAACTAATACATGCTTCTTGACTGAACTATTTTAGGGTGTGTTATTCTCGGTTTTGTTTCTAAGTTGGGTATCATAGTGTTCATGGTTGAACTACTCAGTAGAAATTCTCATGATTTAAGTTTGTGGATTTTGGAGTTATTCTAATGGTTTTATATTTAATACATGATTTATTTTAACTCAAAGTTTGTCAGTCATTGTGAAAATCAAGCTCTTCTAAGTTCAAGTTTTGACAGTTGGTTTTCTATCCTAGATATTTTCCATTGGTTTTTTTTTCTAAGTTTGGCTTCTAGTGTATGGTATACAATTATATGTTAAGCTTATATTCTAGGAAAAGGTCTCATTCCATCCTTTCTATTTACACTCTTCATAATTAAGTTTCATTCACATGTTTACTTTTTAAATTTTCACATATATGAAAGATATTTTTGTAAAATTTTGAGTCATGCAAAGATACTATTAGAGTGCGAATGAATATATATAAGGGAAAAATGTAAACATGAGATTTCCTAAGACTTATATGCTTAGGGGTTAAGCTTATAAATCAGATGTTCTTAGAAAAGAACATATTCATTCATGTGTCGAACTTATATGCATATAAAAGTCTTTCACAGGCTAGCTCTTCAGGATGATTTGCAAAGTCATATCATTTCGGTGAGAGAATTTATGGGAGAACATATTCATTCATGTGTCAAACTTATAAGCATATAAAAGTCTTTCACAAGCTAGCTCTTCAGGATGATATGCAAAGTCATATCATTTCGGTGAGAGAATTTATGGATTTGATGAGCTCATGAGTTTCTTAGAAAAATTTTACATTAAGTTGAGAGAGTGTTGTAGACTTACTTCATTCCGACAAAGGTTTTCTTAAGGTTATGTTTAGATTTATTTTGTTTAGGGTTTCTACTTAAAAAGTTTAGATTAGGTTTTGAATAGGATTTATTTAAGTTTCATCTTAAGGGATTCAAGCTTCTTTAAGTACTAAAAGAAAGTTTTGATTTGTTAAAGGTTTTACTTTAAGTTTCTATTTTAAAGGAAAGCATTTATGTTTCACTTTGAAAAGGATTTGAGTTCACTTTAAAAAAAGTTCAACTTGAGTTTTAAAAATGGTTAAAAATTTTATTTTCGTTAAAAATGTTTAAGAAATGGTTTCCATTTAAGTTTTTTTCTTTGAATTATTTTATATACGGTTTCGTTTTTTTTAATGAATTTTTGTTTAGGTTTTGTAAAGCAAAGTTATCTTATTGAAAAGATTTTTATTTTATTTTGAAAAGTTTTGCTAAATTTTATTTTTGGAAAGTTTTAAGTTTTAAAAAGTATATTATATTTAGTTTGTTATTTTCTATTTTTCGAAAATGTTTTTGATAAAGGTTTTATATTTTGGTAAGTTCTTAAGTCTTAGAATGGCTTTCTTTGAAAAGTTTTTACTAAGTTTTTATTTTTGAAAATATTTTGTTAAGTTTTAAAATAATAAATTTATATAAAAAATGCTATTATTTTTTATAAATTTTGCCTAAATCTATTGAGAAAGTCCTATTATTTCCCTCTTTAAAAATGGTTCTCTAAATGTTGACAAAATAACATTCAAAACATCTCATCCATTAACTTTAAATCAGACAATTTCTTTTCAATTTAATTACATTGTTAATCACTGAAGCTCCCATCAACAACATAAAATACATAACATGTCATTATTAAATCTTGTCCATATAATTTATTCTATTTGAAATCTCATACAAACATCATACATCATACATTGGCGCCTCATTGACATATGGCACATTGTGGCAAACATCATAATTTAATCATAACATTTAACAATTACCGTTGCTGCATAAGACTATAAAATAATATATCATGTTCATTTTTTTTCTTATATCACATCTTCAAGTTGCACATATTTAAAACTTGACATGAATTTCTTAATTGAAATTACAGAAAGCCTCGTGCATGCCATACAAATTCTGTTAATTTACACCTCTAACACGAGCGAGCCCAGGCTCAGCTCGTGTTTGGCTCGTTTATATTTCGAGTTCAAAAAGAGTGTTCATGTTCAGCTCGTTCGTTTGTTTAGCGAGCCGAACACAGCTGTTCATGAACAAAAAGTCATTTTGAGAACCCTAATCACGTAGCCATAAGAAGTTAAGGATTGGAACCCTAATCGC